ACTATCCAGGGAGAGTGCTAGTACCCTCTCCCCACCAGTATCTCTTCTCCATTTTTCTCCAATATTTTTTTTCACTTTAAATGCATTATTTCAGATAATCACATTGCACACATTAAAACTCACTCTGTATCTCCATGCTCATTAAATTAGAGTTGACATAGAGATTATCTCACATTCCAACTTGGATGGATTGAAAGTGTCTGCTTAGAGCTCCAAAATGAGCAGACTTCTGAGGTCATACCGGGTTCAATTGACTGAATTAGCAAAGTCAGGTTATAGGAGGGCCAACAATTGTATTATTAGTGACCAGGTTTTATTGGTCACCACTAGTTCAGGCTATGCAATCCCTAGAAACTCAGTATGAATGTATCTGGCGACTTTCCCAGCTTTTAAAAGAAGGTGAGAAAGAAGAGCAGGGATAATTCTGAAGCCAGAGCCAGGACGACCATATAACTTATCTTGCATACCAGAGCCTGTCAGAGAGCAAAGGGACATCTATTAGTGAAATGCCAGGAAAATATATGTAAACCCTCACTGTGGTTAGTGGAGTTTTCATAGCTGTGACCAAAATAAGCAACAAGAACAACGTAGAGGAGTTATTTTGGCTCACAGTTCATAAGTTGTGTTCATGGTGGACTAAATCTGTTATTCTGGGCCAGAGGTGTGGCAGAACATCATGGTGAAAGGGCGTGGTAGAGGAAAGCTGTTTAGCTCAGGACTGCGGGGCAGCAGAGAGAGGAGAGGGAAGGGGCGTCAGGGAAGATGAACCCTTAGGGAATGTCCTCAGTGACCTACCTCCTCCAGCAGGGCCCTACCTAGTAACCACCCAGTCAGTCCATTCCACTAGGATAGACTGATTAGGATACAGCTCTCACAATTCAATCATTTCATCTCTGAACATTCCCACGTTAGCAAATGAGCTTTTGGAGAACACCTCATCTACAAACTATAACAGGCAGTCTCCCAATTTCAAAAACATGTATCAAGTAGTTCATTTTTCAAATAAGTCCAACAAATTCTTTGTCCTGACACTATGGCTTTTTCATAGTTGGGGCTTCCATCGACCACATTCCCTCCTCTGCAAAGAGGAACCTAAGTAATTGTGCTTGGGTAGGACTCCCAGAACCTTAGAGATTCATTATGAAACACAGAAAAGAAATTGATTTGCAGCTTTGCAAAGGCCAATAATCCAACTAATGCATTACCCTCTGGACCCTTGATTTAGTTCCTCTTCCAGTTAATTTAGCAATATGTTAGTTCTGATGAGAAGGCTTGATTAGGAAGGAGATGAAGCTATCACTTTAGATGAGTTTGGAAATTACCAATAAATTTCAATTTTTCACATTACTCCGAGTGAAGGGTGACTGACTGTTAAGAGTAGTGATTCCGCTGTGTGGCCCGCTGCTTCTGAGATATAACTGTCCTTCTTTTCAGCTTCTTTTGTACAGAACAAGCATTACAGGTGCATTTCTGTGTATACAGATCTTCACTTCCTTAGTCAGTGCTATTATCTTGTTAATCTGTGATTAACAAGATTAAAAATATGGACAAAGGGCTATTGAAATTAATTTGCTGTAATATGTAGTAATAAAATAACTAATGAAGAAATGGAATCATTCGATATTCAGTGTCTTGCTACCAAGGGACTATGTTCTGGTTACCAAGAAGGACAAATCATTGGCAAGTTACTGTTTTGAAGGAGAGGTGAACAATTACAGCCCTCATGACATGTGACCCATGGCAAATTAGTACTAAATAGTCTTTTAAATGAAATTATTATGTCAGCTTCAGAGATTATTTGAAATAAAAGGAAGGTATTATGAATATTTTAAAAATTATCAGACATAAAGGTGTAAAGATCTTCATGGCATTAATTTGTAGCAGTCCTTTATAAATTTGGTTGGATGTCTTGTTCACCCATTGAAATCGTGGCCATCCTTCAGAGCCTAAATTATAACCCACTTTCCTGCCCCTGTCTAAGGTCTCTTTGGCTCTTAGCTTTCAATGATTATTAATTCATACTATTTTGAGATATTACTGTAGAGTCATGTTACATAATTATTAATCTTATGAATTACAGTTTCACTTTTCACCAAGGAAGTCAGTATTATCTACCAAACCAGATTGTGAATTGGTCAGGTTTGGGAGCAATTTATGATCTATCCTAGTATCTTCCTTCAAGATCTAACAGGGTTTTGAATTTATGTAGGTTGAACTTTATGAAGTTGCCTAAATTGGATCATTTTTGATCTACAAAGAAAGCAATTTCTTATGGACTAATAATTGTTCCAGAAATAAATGTGAATGAGTGGGGTTATATTTAAAATTATAAATTCTAATTTGAAAAATAGATTGACTGTATGTGTGTACATAGAAATAGACATATGCTTATCTAATATACACATATACATATTATGAAGTATGTATTTACAGAGTGTGTGTATATATGTAAATATGAAGTAATTTAAAACTGATGATTGAGTTTTGGTTTTAATTGAGGAGATAAGGCATTCAGCTACAAAAACTCTGTTCAGGAGCTTCTAGACATAATTTTTTTTCTTTTAAAAGAAACAGATATAACCACTATTATTCCGGGAAAATAAATGTAATGGAGATAACATTGTAAATCACTTGCTTTGTCATTGTGGTGATACCTATATCAATTTTTTATGTGGGATTGCACACTTGTTGATAAAATTATTCTGTAGAATTATATTAGTATGAAGTAATCTTTCTTTTGAGTGTTTATAATAAGCTTACACTGTTCTAAACATGTCAAATCTATTAACTCAATGAATTCTCTCCTTCATCCTGCAAAGTATGTGATATAATTATCTTCATTTTTAAGATGAGAAAACTAAGACAAGAAGAGGGAAAGTCATTTGCTGAAGCTCAGACAACAGGTAATGATTTAGCATGTTGTCAAATGCAGAGGTCTGGCTTCAATCATTTACAATACCATACAGAATCAGTAAGCTATATTGACCTTAAAAATTAGAATGAATTAAAAATCCTTTATTTTCCAAGATGCACAGCATCTGGTGAATACTTGATAATTTGAAGTTACAGAATTGAGAAAATATATCTAAGGCTTGGAAAACTGCAGTTTTAGGTCTCTTATAAGAAAGTCAAAATCATTTTGAAATAGAGTGCATCAGTTTTCAGTATTAAAAACTGGAATTGATAGCATTGACTCTTGATTAGGTAATTTATAAGAGAAGAAAGAATAATAGGTCATATATAACACAGACGATTAAGAGCTCTTAATTAATTAGACAGGCTTATTTATTTTTTGTTTGGTACAAATGAATGCATATGTTATGGTTTGGATCTTAAATGGGCCCCAAAGGCCATGTGTTGGAGTCTTGGTCACAAGTCTGTGGTGCTATTGGGAGGTGGTGGAGCTCTCAGATAGCGGGGCCTAGTGGAAGGAACTTATGTCTTGGTGGATGAGGAAGGGGCCATTGGGACTCCAACCCCACCCCCTACCTCTGTTTCTCTGTTTCTCTCTTTGTCTATCTCTGCTTCCTGGTTACCCTGAGGTGAGAAGCCTCCTCCACCATGACTCCTGCATATTGGTGTATCTCATCAGATGCACAAAAGCAACAGAGTCAAGTGACCATGGATGGAAACCTCTGAAATTGTGAGCCAAAATAAGTCTTTCCTTCTTTTAAGTTATTTATCTTAGGTATTTGTTACAGCTATGGAAAACTGACTAATACAGTCTGCAAATAGTTTTTTAATGCTACTTTCTAATGTGATCATATGTTTCCTAGTGCAGATATTTATTAATTTCTTAATACTTTAAAACAAGGAAGTCATACAAGCAGAGATGAATAAGATTTCTTAACTGGGCATAATAGTCAACAAATTGATACATACATAATATGTGTGATAGATGTACACACATATGCATGTATATAATGTATATTACATACAAAAATGTAATATGCACATATATAATATATAATAATTTATCAACAGAATTTGTCTTTATTTACATCAACAAGATTTTTAAATTAAAATATCTTTCCAATAAATGAAGTAATCTAGTGTGATTTCATTTAATTCTGAATGAGAGGAAGCATTCTCTCCTGGGAATCAGCATCAAATAGTAACAGAAACACTAGGGGGGGCAATCAGGATCTTGAGTTTTTTGGATTGTTTCTGAATCTTAGTGGACTGGCTAGAAAAGTGAGGTACTTGAAATAGACGATGTTTGTCATTCAAGTGACAAATTTCTATAAGTATCTTTTAAATTTTATTTGTTTATTATGTTTTCCTTAGTGTATTATGGTTATACGTAACATTGGTGTTCACTTTGACATAATCATACAAGCACAGAAGATAATTTGCTTGATTGTTTGATATCTCTGAAGTTTGTATTCCAGGCAATACAATTCTGCTTATTTATTTTGTAGTTGTAGATGGACAGCATGCCTTTATTTTATTTATTTTTGTATGCGGTGCTAAGGATGGAACCCAGTGCCTCACACATGTGAGGCAACTGCTCTGACACTGAGCCCCAGCCCCAGCCCACAATTCTGCTTCTTCAGTAAGATAAGTTAAGCATACCCTGCTTTTAAAGAAAACATCAAAAGGAAAACAGCTATGACATTTTCGTAAATACAAACTTGTGAGTTCAATACAATAAATTAAGTCATTCAAACCTGTGAAGACTCCTCCTGCCCCAAGGAGACCCAAGAAGCTGTTATCCATGCATAAACTGGGAAAAGGTACCTTGGGAAGAGGTGGGATGAAGGGGTATGGCAATGCAGGTTTATAATTTTCAAGTTATACTTTTGTGAATTGATTGTTTTGGTCAATTCCATGAATTACATTTTTTTAAGTGTCCTCAGGGATTATTTGGGAAAACAAACCATGGGTCGTTTTGTTGTTTGCTTTGGTTGCTTAGACTTTAGTAAAAGTACTTGAAGGGTCAAGCCCCAATAGCATTCAGGTTCAACTCCTGAGAAGGAAGTGGAGTTGGGCAAGGTTACCTTCTTACAGGCTGTGATGGAGCCACCCAGGCTGCTTCCCAGGCTGCTGCTGCCGCTGCCCTGCTGCTCCTCCGACACTTCATACATCAGTGTTGACTCCGAGTTGCTGTTTGTGTCACAAACACAAAAGAGAACACATTCCAGTGAGTCATCTGTTTAGAAATTCAGAATGAATGAGGCATGATACAATTTATCAAAAATCATCTTTTCTGATTGCATTCAGTACTGCCAGTCCTGCTGCTGAAACTGACATTTCTTTATTGGGCACATTTCTGGGCTAGGCTGGCGCGAATACAAAACTGCAGCCCAAGGCCTTCCACAATGCTTACACGGACACAATCGCATCTGTCCAACTTGCAGCAGTGTTAGCAGCTTTTCTTAAGCATGCAGTTTTAAAACTCAAATAAAGTCTTTTCATGTGTCACTTTAATTTAGCTCTTCTAGTACCAACACGACAAAAAAAAAAAAAAAAAAAACAAAAAAAAAAAAAAAACCAAACAAATAAACAAACAAACAAAAAAAAAACACTCATTTAAAAAAAAATAAGGGTAAGATGTAATTTTCAATGGGATGCTGAATGGTACCATGAAAGGAGTGTGGACTACAACAAACACAGCCCATCCCTTGACCATCTCTGTGGCTGGAGACTGTCCCTTGAGACTCATACTCCTTCCCCCACACCTATACTCCTTTCCCTGCCACAGTCAACTTTTAGTGGGTTTGACTATGCATAGTATTGCACAAAAATATCAGACTAAAATTTATTTCTACATCTTCGAGATGTGTAAAAGATTAAAATTAATAACAAATCTGTTTTTCATAACATGCCAAGAAATTGAAAATTAAGCCTCATTTTAATACAAAAAGCTCTCTGAGTCATTTAAGCCTTCTAATTATTTTCTTCTTTTGAAAATAACACAATTTGGAATTTAAAATGTACTGATATCTCAAGCCATATTGTTGACCACATAGAACATGTAGAATTCATTAAAATACATTTTTGCAATATAATTGAATAGTTCTATAGGTAATTTTCAACCCAAGATGTAGATTTTTTTTCCTCTTGAAATGGATCAGTTAAATAAATAGTATATTTCAACTAACATCTGACTCTCATGTTTCCAGCTCTGAATGAGTCAGTTTTTATCACACTGTGCACCAGTGTAGTCTGTTGAAATTTCTGTTATTAAGTAGTATGAATGACACTTTTAAAATGACTGCTGATGGTGCTGTGGAACAAATCATAGAGTCAGGCAAAAATGCATAGAAGAAATGAGGAAAAATGTATTTTGTTTAAAATTTTCATGTATTATTTTCAAGCAATTGTCACCCTGTGGACTAGAATATATCTAAAGTAGATGAACAGATCACACCCACATCATCCTTGCTAAGGTGGGTGAAAAGGAAAAGAAGAAGGAGAGGTAGAGGGAGAGAAAGCATGAGAGGGAAGAAGGAGATAATGATGGAGAGGAGGGATGGAGGAGGAAGAAGAAAAGAGGAAGGGAAAGAGAGAGGACTTTAGATTATTTTTCTGGTTCTTGATCTCTAGCTGCTATGTACCTAGCCTTTTGAGGCTCAATCTCTTCATTATAAATGACACATGTAAACTGAAATCTGTATTTCTTTCCTAAATCTGGAAGTCACTTGCAAAATGTACTAAAGCACTGAGTTTTCAGTCCCTGTAATTTCAGGGCTCCCACAATGTGGGGTCCATGACCTTTCCAGCAGCCATTTAAGTGTGACTACACCTCAAACCCAACTGCAGATGTCCCACCAAGCAGATATCAATATTAGGTTTCAAATTACTAACATGTGGAGGATACGACTGCAGACTAGACTAATTTGGTGCATGATAACTAGGCTTTCGAGTCAAAGAAATAATTTATGTTCCTTCTAGGAGTCAGTCAAGCCCCATGGGCAGGAACTCAGGCAGGCAGCTCTGGCTCTTGTTGCTATTGTGTTCCGAGGCACATCTGGTGAGCTAGTGGGTCACTTCTATCCAGAGTTAGGGCATTTCTATTTCTGATGTCTTCTTCTTCTTCTTCTTCTTTTTTTTTTTTACAGGGCTAGCAACCCTGGAGTAGGGCACAGGCAAGCTAACAAGTCATGTTTGGGAAGATTGTAGGTTGCTCATCCCTGATCCCATACAGCAGACACAGCACTTCAGCAATCTCTAACTTCTCTGGAGGGGAATCACATTTGACCTAGGCCGAGTTGGTTAGGTCCCAATTCAGTGGATAATGTAAACTTAAAGAAAAGTAGAAGATCAGTCTTGAAAATTACTTAGTTGCCCACTTTGTGACTTTAGATGGAGCATGAGATATATTACTTGTCACCCACCCAAAAGTTGAAGAACTGCTGAACTTATCTAGTAGAAGGAAGAAATGTCAGTTCTACCCACAGAATCCCTCTGTATTACCAACTGGGAGACTCTAGTTGGAAATGAAGGTGCAGATAGGAGTGTGAAAGTTCTGTTGCTTTCTGCAGGGCTCGCTCCATTTGTTCCAAATCTAGGCCTGTATAACTTCAATAGATAAATAAAACAATGTATATCCACACTTATCTATTTGCTGTGAGAATTAAATGGGGAAGCAGAGTCACATGACAAGACTAAAATCGGTGTGCTACTTAATGACAAGCCTTCTGCAGCACCACTGCACCAGCATGGAGGGCAAAGGCTTCTTCTCATTTCCAGAAACATTATCTGTCACTTTCCTGATGTTTAGTGCCCTAAAATATGTACAGAGGCTTTTATCTTAAATCATGCTACAGATGTGGAATTTCAAGAGATGACCTTACAACCTGGCCCAATGTCTTCCACAGCCTTTGAGATGGAAATGAAAGTTGAGAGTTTTTGCAGAGAAGCTGTCCCTGGTCTCCAGAAAGGTAGAATGTTCCCTACTCTAGGATGAGGCAGAGTTGGTGGTGACAGGGAAATCATGCATTTATTAAAATGAACTCAAACTGACATTAAAAGAACGGCAATCGAGATGCAGTACAGCCCTATAACTTGCTACTAATGGGTAAGGAAGCAAATTCTTCCTTAGGACACATTCCTTTGATTTTCACAAGAGTTGACAATATTTACTAAGCACATCCTTTCAGACTCCCTTCGTGCTGCAACTGTTAAATGTGTTTCAGCAAGAAGGTAGATAAAGAGGAGAAGACGACACAAAGGCAGCCCATGAAGTAGTGACTTTAAACCAGTCTTCTATAAAACAGCCTCCCTTATTGAAAAAATGTCATATCTGAATAGAGGAAGTGCTGAGGTGCCACTGTACTGCCCCATCAATAATTCATGCAGGTGAATAAGCAGGTCACTTGCAACAGTGAAGATGGTCCAGGGAGCTTTCAGATTTCCCCAGAGACAGAAGTGCCCAGTAACTGGAAACTGGGTCATTTAAATATCACTACTCAAAATCAAAACTTGTCCCATGAACCAGCATCAGTGGTATTGCTTAGGAGCTCGTGACTCAGGTCATTCCCCAAAACTACTGAATCAGAATGTGCATTTTTATATTAAACTCAGGTGATTTATATGGCCACTAAAGTTTGAGAGTCACTTATATGACACATTGAATTGAATGCACATTCTTATTTGCTCTTGGGCCTTTGTTCAAGTTGTTAGTTCTTTTAGGGACATTGTTCCTCCTCCTCCACCTTCCTCTTTGATAATTCCTGCTCTATCCTTTGGGTCTCAGATAATGACTTCCGGTGCCTCTTTCCTCCCCAGTCCCTGTCAAGGTGACCTCTGCTCCTCTTCAATGTACCACCAAAGCCCTGTGCACATGCAAATACATCCCCACTCCACCTCTTTCCAGCCCTCCCCAACCCAAGAAATGAAATAAGTGCTGTCCTTGTATGTTTCAGCAGCAGCCAGAGCCACATGTCCTGTTGTCAAAAAGCACAAAGATTTGTAGTATTTGTCTCTCCCTTTAGGCTATAAATTCTAGAAGCACAGGGATGCTTTAGGACCTAGGATAGTGCTGTGCAGTGATAGATAATCAAAAAACATCTATTAAGGTTTTTATTTTTCTATCTTTCTGAGCATCCTGCTTAACCTCAAAAGATCAGGCACAAACAAGTGTCTGAATCCAACGCTTAATTTGCTGTAGTGTGACAGATGGTGAGATAAGCTGTGGCCAGAGATGATAATTTAAAGAATTTCCCAGGATAGTTCTAATGAAAAAGGATCCTGCTGTTATTATTGCTAAAATGTCAAGTAAACACAGGGTGAAGTTAAACAATTTTAATAGGTTCTTAAAGACAAGCTTCACTCTTATCTTCTCACCCTTAAAGAGTGCTTCTGGTGAAATGTAGTGATTATCTTCCATTTGATTGTCTCAATCCTATCAAGGGTATCTGCCCTTGAGCTTCATACCAAATCTCTTAATCTCAACACTGGAAAAAAATTAAAACGCAGATCTATCTATCAGAAGACATCTTGAACAAGGAATTGAGATATCTTATTAAAATCAATTTCATAATATACTACAAACAAGAACTTAGAGTATTTTAAAATATGCCTTTGCACAGTTCAAGATGAAATCTTGCTCCAGGGAACGTCTTTTTTTTTTTTTTTTTTTTTTTCCAAAAAAAAATTTTTTTTTTTTTTTTTAAGGCAGCGGAATGTCTTTATTTTACCCTCATCCAAAGGGATTTAACTGTTAGGTGGAGCTCAGGGGCTTCGGTCCATCTTTCAAAGACTGATTTGTTTTAAAATTCTCATGATGTGTTAGTATCTCCTGTCTTCATGGACTGCCCAGTCTGGGACAGACTCCTGCCTAGACCAAGTTTTAGTTGAGCTCCTATTAGTTCTCTTCTCAGTTACTCCTGCAATTTGGTCTGCTGAGCCCATTCATCAGTGAATCCTGCTAAGTCAGTTAGCAACTTCCTCATCCCCTACCCTTGATAGTTTAGTCCTTGGCCTGTCATTAGCAAGAATCTGTTAAGCCCAGATTCCCCCTCCTTACTATCTCCTTTTAGTGATTTTTTTAATCTGCCGACCCTCTCAGTCTGCCTGTAGGCTGTAAAGCCCACTTGCCCATGTTCTGTGGAGTGGAGCTTAGTTCTACACTGATGTCTGTCTCTCTGTCATAGGAGCTT